TGACCTGGTGCAACCACGGTCCTTGGTGGTGGCATTTCTAAGATGGCCTTGATTTTTGAAAGGTCGACCTCGATGCCCCTTTGTGTAATCAGAAACCCCAGCATTTTCCCCGCTGTAACACCGAAAGTACATTTCTGAGGATTTAGCCGCAACCGAAATTCCCTGATCCTTTGAAAGAACTTTTGCAAGGCGGTGTAGTGGCCCTCTCTTTCTTTGGACTTGACAATCATGTCGTCCACGTACACCTCAACCTCCTTGTGGATCATGTCGTGCAATATTGTGGTCGCGGCCCGTTGATAAGTAGCTCCGGCATTCTTCAACCCAAACGGCATTACTCTGTAGCATTGTGTTCCCCACGAGGTGGTGAATGCATTCTTTTCTCCATCTTCTGGTGCCATTACTATCTGATTGTACCTTGAGAAGCCGTCCATGAATGAGAGCAAAGCATGCCCTGCTGTGAAATCTACTAACTCATCAATATGCGGTAAGGGAAAGTCGTCCTTCGAACTAGCTCTGTTCAAATCCCTGAAATCTACGCATACCCGGATTCTGCCATCCTTCTTCGGTACTGGAACGATATTGGCCAACCAAGTCGGGTATTCGGATACCAACAGGAAGCCTGCATCGATCTGCTTGGTGACTTCTTCCTTAATCTTGAGAGCCCAGTCGGGGCGGATCCTTCGGAGTTTTTGCTTGACAGGTCGGGCTTCGGGGTTAAGGGGGATCCGGTGCTGTACAATCTCAGGATCGATCCCAGGCATGTCTTCGTAGGACCACGCGAAAACATCTTTGAAATCTTTTAATAAAGTGATTAAGCGCTCGCGTTCCTCCGAAGACAGCATGGACCCGATCTGGACCAGTCGCGGGTCTTCCTCAGTACCAATGTTCACGGTAATGATTTCATCCGTTAAAGGTTTGACAAGTCTCTCCTGCTCCTGCTCAATTAAACGTTGCAAAATCGGAGGAATTTCGTCCTCGTCGTTTTTATCAAAATTTTGAAAGTCTGAGTTTATGCAATAAATTAAGGGCACAAAAAAGTACTCAGAAACCACAGTTACTTGATTCTCATGAAGCTCATCCAAATCGTTCGAATTCTCGGTTACAACAGACTCAAATGAGAAAGAAAAAGACGACCTGGACATAACTGTGGCATCCGAGTTATCATGCCCAGGATTACCAGACTCAGACTCAGTCGAGCTGGAACCTGATTCCGACTCATAGGACTCGGTGGAATCAGATTCCGGCTCACTACCTGACCCGGTGTTGCTGGACAAAAATCCCTCCTCGTACTGCCAAGTGAGAGAGGGTGCGATAGATGCATCCAAGATAGTCGCTGGAAGGCCCGCAGCTATTTCATCTCCAATCAAGGAAACCGAGGAGTTATCCCCCAAGCACTTTTGGTCGATCGAAGGATCTGAAAGTAGGCACGCCAGCGCTACCCCCATCTCTAGTTCGGGGCTCTCAGAATCCACTGCCTTACACTGCTCAACCTCAGCTGATGGGTCTGTCTGCTCTTCGGCAACGTCATCCCCGGGTAATTGCAAGTCGAAGAAGATCTCGAAACCAGGCACACCCTTCCTCTCCGCGTTCAGCCATGGTTCTGGGAAGCCGCAAAACGGAAAGTCTTCCCCCTCCCGGACGAAGTGTCCGTTTAGGGTACCCTGAATAGGCCGATGCATTAATTCGAAAGGCTTCCTAGCCTTCTTTGCTCTGGCTCTTCCGGCCATCTCTTTACCCTTCCTCACCCAGTCCTCTTTGGTGGGCAGATAACCCAATCTAAAGGTGTGAGGGTCGTGTGGCACTTCGGCCAATGCTGCGACGCCCTTCCGGCCGCTTCTTCCCAATCCCATTCCGGGGATGTGTTGTAGCTTGTTCATGAGGTAGACGGATTGAGCACTGACGTACACCCCCTCATTCACAGCCATTATATTCTGCACCACTCGAGCCTCAGCCAAAGTGAACCCTGATAAGAACACATCCTCAATGCCATGCTCAATTTCAAAGACTGGTGTGGACACTTCCGGCGGCGGATGGATTGATGAATTCCCGAAAACAATAGCCACCCCCTTCCCATGAGGGTACTTCAGCATCTGATGTAAAGTGGAAGAGACTGCCCTGACCTGGTGCAACCACGGTCGCCCCAAAAGTAGGTTAAAGGTTGCGGGAACGTCCAAGACATGGAATTCATTGTTGTTTTGTCCTAGACCAACCTTGGTTTGAATTTTGACAGTCCCCATCACTTCCCTGCTAGTGTTATCGTATGCTCTGATCACTTGAGTAGTCAGCACGAAGTCCGCGGGCTTCAACCCGATTGCATACGCTGTTCTGGTCGGGTAGACATTAATAGCGGACCCGGTATCAACAAGTACCACCGGTATCCACTTGTCTCTACATTCCACGGAGGGGTTTGAAAAGGTTAATGCTGAGGAACCTCCTCCCGGAAAAACCAGCCCAACCAGCTGTTCTGGTGTAGTATCTATGGAGAGTTTGGACTTGTCCATAGCAGATAGGACAGCTTGCCTATGTACTCACGATGCCATAAGCAGTCCCCAGATGGAGATGTCTGCTTGTATCTTCTTTAGTTGTTTCAGCACAGCTTCCTCTTCAATCTGCTTCTCCTTCTGTTTCTCCGCTTCTTTATCCTTCCCAGATGCCTCGGGTTGGTCTAGGTGCGGGGGCTTGAAGTACCGCCCGCTTCTCGTCATGTGATCCACCTCATCGAGGTACCAAGTGTCATCTGGTTGATTGCTTCCCCAGTCTTCATCCGTGTGGGCAAGACATAAGTCATCGTCTTCCCACCACATTCCGCTGGCATTCAAAAGGCACCCGTCTGGTTCGGGCATGTTTGTGCTCACAGCACTTTCAGCCCGCATGCCCACAGCATCCTCCGTTCTTGTGCCCGCGGCACTTTTGATCCCTTCATGGATCTTGGCTTTTCCGGTTCTCTCAGAACCCTGTTGTTCCACCTGCGTCTGTGCAGTTTGTTGTTCAACCTTCATAATGCTTCCATCCTGAGCGAAATTCTTTGTATCGGCGCTCTCCGGCAATGTAACCTAACTTCCGGCCCTTCCGGCCACAGCTGATACTCTTGCCCCTGCCGGGCCCTGTTCTGGTTGGGATTCTCCCGCTATATCTGGTTGATCATCGAGCCATCCAGTGGCCTCTGCCGATTCCTCATAGTCGAACCAGTTGATTGTCGCGTCTCTTGATTCTTGATCATCGAAAAATTGCAGGTTGGCAAAGTCCCCCTCTACAGCTGTCAGATCATCTGCCTCTTGCCCAAATCCATCCTCCCGGATCACACACAGCTCTCCCGTCTCTGGCAATTCTATACCCAGCCCAATCTGGCTTGTTGATAAGATGTACTCACTTGGATCATGGGCTCCCCCAGCAAAACTCTGTTCAATCCCAGACTCAACAATCCCGTTCTCTCCTGAAGTCTGCCCTTCCCCGTCTTCGATGGTCACCACGGTCGGCTCTGGTTGGGTTGTGGAGATATCCAACATGCACAAGAAGTCAGTGCAGTCGGGGAGGAACACCTCCGACTTGGGTAGATGGGCAGGAGTAATATAGATGCTAGGATCGTAAGACACGACCCCAGTCTGGATAAGGTTGACTCTTTTGGGAGGTGGAGTTTGGTTGTGTGTAGGGAGGGGGTTGGTTGTGACGTTGGGTTTTTCTGGTGGCAAAATCACATTTTTGTCGACGAGGTCTTGAATCTCGTGACGCAGCCTGAAACATTGGTCAGTATCATGGCCGTGCTGCTGGTGATATGCACAGTACTTGGTTGGGTTGTGAGAGGGAGGGAGTGGATTCGGCAATGGCCTCGACTCTAGGGGTTTCAGGTGCCCCTTCCTGATCAAGACCCCCAGAGCCTTAGACAAAGGCATGTATAGTGGGGTGAAGGTTCTTTGGCCTCTGGGGGGGTATTTGGAGGTTTGAGTATTGCTTCCGGATGCACCGGAGAAGGGTGTGGCTGCCATGGGCCTTGGAAGGGGAGGGGGAATGGTGGTGACCATACTGACCTCCGAAGCTCTTACAGTTGCAGCGCCACTCGGGCCTGCATTGTTGTTACGGTTGAAAGTCCTCCTCGGTTGCTCCCTATCCTGGTCAATCAGACCTTGTTTCATTGCGTCTTCGATTTGTACCCCCATCTCGTGTAAATCTGAGAAAGTAGGAAAGGGGAGTACAATCATTCTCTGCATCAACTTTGGTTGGAGATTGCGCACAATCATCCGAATTTGGTCCTTATCAGTGGGCCTCAAAGTCATCATTGACGCCTTTGCCCTCCACCGGGTCACAAAGTCTGAGAAAGTTTCCTTGGTCTCCTGCCTTGTCGTTTCGAGATCACGAGTTGTAATCTCAATCTGGGTGTTGTACGAATACTGCGCGACAAAGGCCTCAGCCATTTCATCCCAGCTTCTTTTTACCTCGTCCTCTAACTTTGCGTACCAGATGGCGGCCACACCGAACAGGGTTCGGCCGAATAGTGAAAGCTTTTGTGGTCGGGTCAGGCCCATTGGCCGCAGGATGTCTGAGAATAGCCGAAGATGGATCATAGGGTCGCCGGACCCGTCGAAACGGTCAATTTGCGGCATCGTGAACCTATCGGGCAATGTTACGGCCACATCGATATATCCGTCCTCGATATCCGGAATAGCCTTTACCCCTTGCGATTTCTTGAAGAGCTTCTCAAGCTTGCTCAATTTCAGAGCTGTATGGTCAATCTCGAACTCGAAGGGGGAGTCCGGGTGGTTGGGTGTATGGGTCTTAGACAGTTGAGGCGGAAGCGGGGGCGGAGCTAGCCCTGTTGGAAGGTTCGTGTCCTCTTGTAGGTTCTGGATATTTGGCACGGTGTTCTGGGTGTTTGGCAGGGCGTTCTGGACAGTCGGTACCTGCTCGGGTAATGGAGCCCCTGGCAGAGGAGGAACTTGATGGGAAGCAGATGTCGCATTCTGCTGTTGCAGTCTGGTAATTAGCTCGGCTTGCTGGGCCACGATCGCGGCCTGCTGTTTGCAGAATTCCGCTTGACGGGCGGCATCCTCTTGCATTTGTCTCATGCTCTCCTGCATCTGGCGCATTAGGGCTTCCATCCCTGATGTATTTTGCTGATCCATCTGACTAACTGGTATGTCTATTTCTATAGCAACAATCGAGACCTCAGTCCTATTATCCCCTGATGGAGTAACCCACTGTTCTGGCAACCTCTGTTCTGACACACTGCGGTTTCTCAGCTTTCTTCTGGCAACCGGGGGTAGAGAATAAAACACTGGCTGTCCGTCAATTAGATCCTCAGATCGATTGAGTCAACGACCTCGTGTCCAAAGTGCTTAGGGAATGTCTGCTGGGTTGGAAGCAATTGTGCTAGAACTGCCCTAGCAAAAGATAAATAAAGCGAAAAGGAAATAAATAAACAGATAAACGAACAGCATAACGGCTTAAAATAAATGCATGACACACAGCCTGACATAACAACCCGACTCTCTCGTTCTGAATGTCTTTCCAACACTGATTTATTATCCCTGAAATCACTGTCCCCAAACTGAATTCTAATACCCGGCGAGAAGCTAAACCTGAATTCTAAATTACTGACTGGAGCCCGCAGACTCTGAAATTACCCACAATACTGAACTGACGCCCCAGCCTTGATGCCAACCTTATAAACTGATACATTGCATTCGTTAATTGGAGACCGCATCCATAAGCAGGAACTCAACAAAGTAAGTGAGTAGCCAAGCTCCCCTATTGTTGGTAGTAGGGTTTCCGCTGTCCTATTTTGTCAGGGCTAGGGGTTCTCACTATGCATCACAGCGGTTTTCAAACAAAAAAAAAAAAACCTATAAACGGGTAAGCAACCTGTCCTAGTTTGGAATGGTCTCTTACGGGATCCGAATATGCAACTAGGATCGGAATGGTCAAAACGCGGGTGTTCCCCGGTAAAACCGGGATAGTTTGTGGTTCCATAACTGACAGACCACAACCGGTCAGCCTTATGGTCATGCCTTGACAAGACAAGCCTCCGGCAAACCGTTCAGGAATAGCAGATGGCAAACACGGTGTCAGGCGCACCAATGCACATGCAATGCAAAGAAACACATAAGTGTAGTCAAAAACAGATATCATGAGTGTCGAGTTAAGTTCTCTAAATCCCCAACAGAGTCGCCAGAAACGTAGACGTCCCCCGACGCCGCCAACGCCCCGGAGGGTTGAGCTCCCGTTCTGTTCAATATTTGGGGTCACTACAGCTCAGACTCTAAAATTTGTCACGGTTCTAAGTCTGAACCAAAGAGTCCAAATCCGGCAAATCGTTTGAGAAAATAGATTTTTGAAAGAAGTGCCAAACATGGACTGCTTTGCCAGATACAGAGTCGCCACCTAAATTATTTATTTTGGGAAATTTATGGAAACCCTGACTCGTTGCCTACGGCCACGTGTCCGTCATCACCAAAGTTGTCGCTCGGCTCGGGAACTTGGGTACGATTAGGGAAGGTCACTTCCGTGAGCACCCCCGCCCGCATCAAAGATCGGCCTCTACTAACCATGATATCTAGTTTTTGAAAACTTTATGCCTTTCTTATTCTGGTTATTAGCCTAGATTTATGTTGTGATGCCACAGCCATACAAGTATAGACTGGGTCGCCTGAATTGGAACGAAACAGTTCATGTTTGTTTTTGGAAGATGGTTTGCTACTCGCAAGTAGGCTTAAAGATGCAGATTTAGCCACCCTCAGGTGGGCTTAGGAAAAGATGGTTTTGCCACTATCTAGTGGGCTAAAACTCACAGTCAATGATTTGTTCCAATCTAGATAACCCAACCTTCACCCACAGCATTCAGGCAGTTATATTCACATAAGCAAATAGCCTCATGGTAAGCATGCTATTCATTGCAGTCACTCACACGCATGCAAGGATGCTAAAGCATAAAACTCACCGAGTACTCCAAGCCAAAACAGAACTAATTAGAAATCCATTCACTGATCCTATTATACAGAAATGCCTAATGCAACACATGCAAAATGCAACTATAGCAGGCTCGGCTATTCTAAGCATGGCATATGAGATGCAACAGCTAACAAGTATTCAACTTTGAATTTGAAATACAAATGCAGTTGTATGATGCCCGACTCCCTGGTGCGGTGCATGCAAAACAGATGAATGATGCAAACATGCTGTCATACTGTATGTTAATTGAAATATGCCCTAATTTAGCCATCATAAGTTGGTAAATAAAAGGGAGAAAGACGTGGGGTTGGAAGACATACATCACACACACGCACACTTATTACAATTGTGCCCTCGCGCAGAGGGTCCGAATAAATATACAGTCCCAAATAAATAATTACAGTCCCGAATAAATACAAAAATCCTAATTAATTTACAAATTAATCTAGGAAAGCTATAAACTGGCATGCAAGCCAGGGACTGCCTTGACTCTGATGAATGATGTATGTTTGGGCTGCCTTGCGCGGAAATCCACTGGGATGCCCCAATTAGCCTCTGTTTTACAATTATTCTTGGAAAGCGCGCCAAGCTCCGGAAGGTTGCCAATTCTTGATTTGCTGCAACGGAGAGCAGGAAAGGGGCATAGCAATGTATTTTCACAGATATATGCATGCCTCGATCCTCGTGCCACCAATCACGCACATCGATGTATGATGGCCGAGGGGTCGAATTATGCAACTCAATATAGAATGAATGCACATGTAAACACAACAAGACCTAACTCCATCATGGATAATCTGGACTGTCGGTGACTGGGGAATTGAGACACGTTCCGTCACTCGGAGTACGAAACATACCTCGTTTCCCGTGCTCGGGCTAACCCCTATCCCAAACACGATGCAATATGCATGACATGCATGAAATGCAACTAAGATACAACCTAGCATACACAATGCTATGAAATGGCATACACAATGCATGATGGAACAAGGCATATGCAATGCTCTAACATACAACCTAGCATACGCAGTGCTATGAAATGAAATGGCATACACAATGCACAATGGACTTACACCAACATGAGTGAACCTCAGCCACACTCACATAAGAGGCCATAAGATGAAAATGAGACTCTCGAAGTACGTGCACGCATGCACGCAAACCGAGGACCGACCCTAAGGCACCAAATGCCACTCTAACAAGACATGGCAAGGCAGGAAACATGATATGCAAACATGCAAATTTCAGCGCTAAAATATGACCCGAAACAGTCCCGAATCAGGGAAACATGGCTCCCAATGCATGAAAATGGTCCCGAAATGCAAGATTAAGCACATGAAATGACTTGTAGCTATATCAAGCATGCATTATTTGATCATGATATGTGAAGACAGATTCAAGGCAGCCCCAAAAAAAGCATGTTTACAGTTCTAAGTGAGGCCAAACACAAAACAAAAATAGGGCAAAACTAGCATGCAAAAATAGCCCTAAATGTGAGATAAAGAAGCAACTCACAGCTGCTGACCCCAAACAGATTAGGGCCCTTCAACAATGTTTAAGAGGGCCCAAAATATGATGTTTTACAGTTTATGGCAAACCACAAAAACCAACACAAGTATGGCTGAGCTCTCATGCAAGAAAAGGGCCAAAAGATGGACAGAGAAGCAAGTAGTGGTTGTTGGCCTTAAACACAAAGGGGCGCTTCAAAAATGTTGAAGAGGGGCCAAAAATATTTCACTTTAAAGTTGATGGCCGGACGCAAAACTGTATACAAGAATGCTCAAAATGCTATGCAAAATAGGGCCAAAAAGAGAGATATAACACAAAGTATATAAAGGATGCCTCAAACAGTAAAATACCCTGAATGAAACATGAAGAGGGGGTCAAAATAAGACTATTTTCAGTTCTGAAAAGAGCCCAAAAATAGAAGCATCCGAGGCTAACAAATCATGCAAAAATATGGCCAAAAGAGAGATATAATGGCAAGTAGTAAATGGAGGCCACAAAAGCAATGAGCCCTTTAACAATGTTGAAGAAGGGCTCAAAATAAGCAACTCTTCACTTTATGACATGCCTCAAAACAGATTATACATAAGCCAAAAATACTACACAAGATAATGGCATACAAGAGGGATAATGAAGCAAGTGCAACAAGGAGGCCTCAAACAGTGAGAGGCCCTTAAATAAAAGTGAAAAGGTGCTCAAAAAAATGCCACTTTCAGTTAGGTCCAGAGCTCAAAACAGTAAGAATGTATGGCTAAGAAATGATACAAGAATAAGCTCAAAAGAGTGGGAATGGCACTCACCCTTGAAGACCAAACTTTGGTAGCTTCTTGGACCAAAATGCAGCACTCCTAAGCTCTGGAGAACACCCTCAAACTGCTGGAATGGAGGATGGAAGGGTAGGGCTATGGGTTGGTGAAGAAATGGTGTAGGGCTAAGGGTGTTTTAGCTTGGAAAATATAGAGGGAGAGAGATATAATGCAAGGGCCTTAGAGGGAAATTTTGTAACCCTAATATCAGAGATGGAGCCTCTGATATATAGGCAAAAAGAGGGGGAAAATGGGGGGAAAAAATGGAGGGAAAACCAACCAAGTTTCCCTCCAAAATGCAGCCCCCCGGATATAGAATCTGGGGGGAAAATGAATGCACTGCTGCACTGTAGATGATGTGAGGATCCTGGCTGGCCAATTATCCAGGTTGTAGGTGGCCGACCGGCTACTCCCCATGGCCGGCTGGCCAAGGGTCAAAATGGTCAATGAGAATTAATGGCCGGCCACCACAGAAAGAGAGCCTCTGATGTGTGCACAACACAACCCTGTGGTTGAACACTGGAAAAAGTGAACCAGGAGAGGGAACAACCCACTTTTCAAAGGGGTTCAAAAGGGTCAACAACAATTACTGGCCGGCCACCAAATATTGGTGGCCTCCCTGGTGTGTACATCACAAATATGTGGTTTAGGGTTCAAGAAAATGGCCCAAGGGTGTTCAACATTGCCTTTGAAGTGAGGAAAATCGGGCGACGGAGG